ATCCCTACCAGGTCTACATGAGGTTCYAATCGGAACTTCGGAATTCTCGTGAACGCGCTTGGTAATCTTCGAATAATTCTAATCGTATAATTCAATTTTCATACACACTTAACACCTACTACCAAGAGTACACGTAATCTCGTGCACAGTAAAGTACTACTACTACTACTAGGATTCCAAATCCCACAAAAAGAGAGGAAAATATGTCCTTTCAGGGCACATGCTGTGTCTTTCATTAGTACCACTGAAAGCATTCCTACCGTACTAAAATTCTGGATTTATGTGTGCATGAATGACCCATTGGATTCGTAGTAATACATACTACTAGTAGTAGCGCCCTCAAAAAAAGTTGCGCTGCCCAACACTATGTACCGTACGTACAGCACGTACTCGTACTTGCTTCATTAAAGAAGGAATGACATTCGACTCGTATGATTCAAAATCAACATCTCATTCGCATGAAAACTTGAAAAATCTTGATCCAATTTTTTTCATCCTTTGGAAAGTACCCGTACCCGTAGTACCGCGATTACGTACTTGTAAAAGTTATCTTGCTGTACCGGTACTGCTGTGTCGTGTAGATGTCATAGCACAGTACAAGGTACAGTATCGTAAACTTCGCTTCGTTTGCAACATCTCGATCATCTACCTCATCTATCTGCCTTACAGTACTTACCAGTAGTACGTGACAGGGCGTACATACTGTACGTACCGTAAGATATTTTTTGGTTACAGATCTGTATTTTGCTGCGATTGGTTTTTATTGTTTCATTACGCACAACCAACTTATTCAACCACGAAAATCATTTCGTTGAAATTGAAAATAGAAACTAACAATCTAGCATCTTTCTTCAAAGACAAGAAGCAATCATGATTGTGTGTTCACGAACTACCCACTTCAAAAATATATTTTATTTGCACACAATAGAAAGGACAGGTGTGTTGATAATATGACTTTCCGACTATATAAATTAAACAACGATGATGTCGACGTTACTACGAATGTGAATGGAACGAGCGATAATAACGACGAAGACGATACCAATGCACACGATGAAGAAAGACAGGAAGTTCTAGAGGCTCGAAGCAAGTGGGCCATGATACATTTTTATGTTCTTCGACCCGCTTTCAGTTTGTCGTTACTTCTCTACATGGCAAGTCTTACAAGTGCAAATGGCGCTTTAACCCTTGAGTCAGGTGTTGTCACTCCAATTCGATACTTGACAAGCTTGGTCCGAATGGAGTCGGATACATACATAAAGTGCGTTAAGCAGTCAAGCGTTCGAACAAAGAAGTCGTTGCAGAAACTCGCCGGAGAAGATAGAGAACGAGCGGAGAATCTTTTTGATTCAAACAAATTTGAGATTGAACGTGCGGAGGAATTAGCGAGCACTTGCTTCGGTAGGATACAAAAGGCTCGATGCTTACTGATCCGATGGAAAGAAGATAATGTAAATATTCCATGGATGAATATTGCAGAAATCGAAAGTAATTCGTCGGCAAATAAGTGTACGGCTGGCAAACGCAATAAGACGGAACAACTTTTAGGACGAGACTTTCGAATCGCTGAAGAACAACTTACTACAGCGTTGGATGATTTCGTGAGCGGTAGTCATAGTTCCTTAAAAGCTATCGAGCATTACGCAATGAATCGATTTGACTATGATCGAAATTACTTCATTATGGAACGTGTACAGCCCGCCCTCGACTATCTATCAGAACAATCTACATCGATACAAATGATGGGTATCGTCTTAGACTACAACGTCACTGAAATCGAATCGATGATCAAGGAACAACTGCAAAATCTTCAGCGACATTTGGAGCAAGCCAAGAAACATATCGATACATTGAAAGAAAAACTTCAAGAATTCCGCAACAGTATTAGTGATTTGTATGTGAATTACAATGCATTGTACGGACGAATGGCTGAAGCCGCCAGCATTTTGCACGGGTTTTTACCGCCGGGGGTAGCCCTACCCGAGGTCTTCGATCTATCTGATTTGCCTCTGGCAGATAGTTTTTTACCATCAACAGGTCTAAATTTGCCTGAAATCGAGTTGGAGTACAAGGACATTCAACAAAATGTCCAGAAAACCGCCCAGGCCTGTCTTAACCTTGTAGTCGAGATTTTAGATGATGCACAAACTCATTCACTTCAAGATCTGCGTGAAGCAGCTCAAAGAATTGCTCAAGCATTAACTGAAATTTTGGCATTGAAGGATTACGATCCACCACGATTCCAGGGATCGCGTGATGACATTTCCGATATCGATCAAGAGATCGAGTTGCACTCCTTGTTGGGGAAAGAGGTCATAAACTGGACGGCGCGGGCATTCGAAAATTTACGTATACCGCCCTCCGCGTTCGATAATATCACTTTTGACGAAGTCAATACTCCTGAATTTGACAGTTTCGATTATAACATGGACGAGGATACTTCCACAACATTCGAACTTCTCAGTATCATTATTCCAAAATTAACGTTCATAGAACAAGTGCTTAGAACAGTTGCATTGCTGGGCGGCTATGCATTTGTGTTGGATATATTCTGTGGATTCTTTCATTGGTGGAGAATATCATCGATGTATGAAAGTGGGGCTATGCCCAATATGCCGGAAATAAATTACGGCGATGATGCTCAAGATGGAAGGGAGCGACCTCGTACAAACTACAGAATGGTGTTCTTCATTTTCAAGTCATTGCTGAACCCTATTGTTGTTGGGTTCCTCTGCATGTTTTCGCTTTTCACTTTCCTCGTTGTTACCTTTTGGATTCCACATGTTGAACAAATGTGTGTTCACTCATCAAATGGCACGTGGTTTGCAAACAATATGCTTGCGCCCACATTAACCAATATTGCGATGGCGGAGGGAAACACTCAATATCTACTCGCTGAGCATTCTTGTCATAGTTTAAAAAATCAACTGTGTACGAAAATTGGTACGGAAGTTGAAAAGCGAATCAGTACTGATCTGTTGGCACTTCGATCATTTCAGGCTAAGCACAACCGTTCCCTTGAGGCATGGCATTTGATGCGGGATTGCATTAATACATCCAAGATGACAGATATTGTAACCGAATCATGTTGTGGACTAAAAGGATACAAAACAGCTGGCTGTTTAAGCTCAAACTATGTTTGTCCCATTGATTTTTCAACGACCCCTCCATCTGCATACAGTACGTTGTCCACTTATTTGGATTCTTCTTCATGTCAGCAACATGTCAATGAATGGAAACTGCAAGACGAAAAATTTGAATGCACTAGTCTCGGTGATGCTTGCAACCATATTCCGTGCAGTGGGGTCAATGATGAATGGATCAGAAAGTACACGACTCAAATGGATTGTAGAGTAGAGCTCTGGATAATAGGTTCTTGCCGATTTTGGTATGCTGTTATCCTCCACTTTAGCGCACTCTATACGACATGCACCCTGATTTATCTTGGATGTCGTGACATTCATTGGCGCGAAATAAGCCCAGATTCTATACGATTTCGAACGCTTCTGCGGGAAAGTGGGAAACTGGCAAAGGGAGAAGAGGTTCAGGAGAGATTGGAATTCATTTCGAAAGAGATTCAGTGGTTCGAAAGAAAAGCCCGGCTGCAAGTCATCATGGGGTCCATCCTGCTATCAGCATACGTCGTTGTGGTATTGATTTTAGCAGGAAAAAGATAGAAGGTGGCCTCTACACAATTGAATGCTTGCCATCAAATTAGTACCATCTCATTGATAACAAAAATCGTAGTTCGTAGCAATATTATGCTTCATGGTGGTGGAAGTGGGTGCCGACAAATTGGACACTCCATCTTCACTTCCATCCATTGAACCAAGCAATCCTTGTGAAAGACGTGATCACAAGGTGCTATCATGTACGCTGCTCTATTGCTACTGTCGATGCCGTTGTAGCAAATGACGCACTCGATGCTTGGCAAGTTCTTAGGCACTGCGGTCACTGTTTCGGCGGTCATTCCAGTTTCGCCCTTGCATCGCTTTCCTTCCTTTCGATTCCGTGCTACACCCCCTCGGGAGCTCAGATCTGATTTTTGTACAGGCAATGGCCGCACCTCGGTCTTAGGGGCTTCTCTTTCTTTTTGCAGTTGTTCAGAAAAAGTTGATCCCTCATTATCCGTCAGAAGCATAGATGCGGGTATAGGTCGGTTGTAGTCGTACTTGGGGGGCAAAAACTGGGCCGGGATAAAGAACCGTGCTCCCCAGCGACGCTGTCCTTCCAGTGTCCCGGCTTGAATTCCGACCCACAATACGAGAAGCTGACACATGGAAACATCTATTGGGCTCTCCGGATAAATTTCTTTCATAAAATTGCTTTGCATAGCGAACATGTACAGCGGCGCAACGAGCCGGGTTGCACTCATTCCGTAAATGTAGTAGGAGTTCATCGGTTTTTTCGCTTCCGTGACGACATTGTGAACTATTTGGGGGACCCAAAAAGAGTATAACAGCAACATGTATGTCTTCCGGTAGTTTTCGCTGTAGAAAAAACCCAAGCATGTCCCCATTAGAGCAACGTAAAACCTCAGATGCAGCAAAGCTATTTGTCGCCTGAGCACCTCGACGGTAGCCCCACCGTTGTTGGCATTCCGCGCCTGTATGATAATTGCCATGTATTTCATCTCGATGACACAAAATATTAGAAGTTTGAAGAAAGCCACGCTGGCGAATGCCGTGAACAAGGTTTGCATCGCCAAACTTAGGTAGACATGAAATAGACAGAGCAATGCGTCCACTACGGTTTGCCAACCAATGCACAGCAGAGAAACCCTCATTGCAACCGATTGCGATTGGGAATGCAAGAGTTGTCTCAGCAACAACACAATCTGTGTTAGGCAAATTATCATCATACCAAACGAGTAGTTGACTGCTTTTCCCGTTGTCGCTTCCCAGTCCGTGCGGATCGCCGTAGTATTCACAGTCGCGGCAAAGTTACAGTTTGGGGATGCGATTGTTCCGTTCATAGCCATGAGCCATGCCTGCTCCATCCGAGACCGTTTTTGTGCCTTTGAATTCTCGCTGGAAAAAGACCCAGATGATTTCTTGAACGTTTGGGCCCTACTATAGGGTTCGTCCTCGTCGTCAACCGCGACGCCTTGCTTCATTTTGGCGCCTAAAGTGGAACCAAGCATTTCTTGTTCCATGTGCCTGCTGATGAGCTTTCTCCATTGCTCGATGGTCCATTTTTCTTCCTGGACGTCCATGCTGATTTCAAACTCACAGCTTCCAGCATTTTTTTCCAACAATTGCTCTTGCTTCGACGTGGAACGAACGGAATGTGGCAAATAGGATTGTAGCGAGTGTTCTTCGTCGTCCCAGGCGAACGGGAAAGGAATGACATGTTTTGAATAGAGCGAATTGGGCTTCTTCAGACTGTCACTGCTAATGTCCACTTGGCCCTCCGACCCAAGTTCCACTTCTGTCTGTTTGTTGATAACTGTTTTTGTTGCTGTAGCCTCTGATGTCGCTTCTGGCGAACCAGTCGTTTCGTCCAATCGCCGCCGCTCCTGTAACTCCTCTCCTGGATACACGAAAGCATCCTCGCTCGCATCTTGGTCTTGCACCGAACGCTGTGCAAATACGTATTCGTTGTGAAAGTTGTGTTCCATAAAGCTGTGAAAACCATCTGCCTCGGGCCACAGTCGTTCGTACAGGGAAAGATCAGCGGAACCGTAGCCGTTGGTGTGAAACAGTTTTAGCACGTGGTCGCGGAGTTCTTCGAGCCTTCGATCTCCGCGTCGGTCGTCCCCATCACTACTACCACCGTTCCCGAGCGATGAGACCAACTCTTCAAGCCTCCGGTGATTGGTATCGCTGCCGCCCCCGGTTAATTCCTCGGCAGAGCTCGGTTGGTTCGTGTTGGGTGGCCCCTTATTGTAGGGTTCGTTCCCGTCCGGTGAGGCGCCCGCTACGTCGTTAACGAGGAGAGCGACCCGCCCAGTGGACCCGGGGTTGGCCACCAGTGACAGCTTTCCGATCGAGTGGACCAACACGCCGTGGACCCTTAGCAATACGTCCCTCCGCGTCGAGTATCCGGCAGTGTACGAGTCGTATAGCTTCATGTAGCCGTCGATTAGCGACAATTCCTTCATTGCCGGCACCGCTTTGGAATACAACTGAAAGGCTATCTTCCCCGAGGTTTTGGTCAGCGATAGTTGCGCGGGAGGCGGGTTTGCCTTGTAAGATCCCCGCCGAAGGGAGTTGCCGCTGGGGTTGTTGCTTCCATTTCTCCTTCCGGGCGGTTTGGATGCAACCTCCTCCTTGGTGCCACCAGTGGTAGGAAACTCCAGTTCCATGCCAGGTGGCAAGACATGGAGTCCGATCATTGGGTCCGTTTGCTTCCGTAGGAACTCCGAGAGGGGGACTTCTGCTTCTATCGGTGAGAGTGCTCTCACGACCGACGACGCGTTCTGCGGCGACCACGTTCCCGAAGGATTCGAAACAACCCCCTCTGTCCCTTCGCCGCCGGATTCGATCGAATCGATGAGTTTCCAGTCTCCACGGTAATAGCCAGTAGCGTTCCACGGATAATGCCATACCTCTCGCTCGCCGTACAGGAATTCGTCAAACTTTTGTGTGGCGCTCTTCAGTTCGTCCTTCGTCTCGTTTTGGTTTTGTTTCCTGGCGCTTTCGCTTGCGAGTGCAGAAGCCGCAGCGTCGTGGAGCAGTTTGGATGCATCGTCCGCTACGATAATGGCCTCGTTGTTCGACTCGGAGGCCACCAGTACTTTTACGAAGGATCCGCCCGGTCGCTCTAGCACAAGGTCCTTGAGGAGCTGCTCGTAGATAACCCTCGTTTGTATGTTTTTTTGCTCCTCGGCCCAGGTCCGAATCTCCCGATCAAAATCGGTCCCGTTGTTCTTCTCGACGAGCCGCTGGTACCGCGAGTGATTCCCATGGAGGACAATGTCCTCGATGGAGCGATCCTGGGTCCGCCTTGCCCGATACAGCTCCATGTCCGATTCGACGGATCGGATGTTGTCGGCGTGGCGACTTTTGCTGCTGCTTGACCCCCGCAGACCGCCCGATCTGTGCTGCTGTCGCCGCTGCTGGTTCTGCTCCTCTCCATCCATTAAGAGCAACAGCAACAGAAACATCATGAAGGACCGGGAAGACCGCTGCCTCCGTTCTCGTTCCCGCCATTCCTCGATCTGGGCGCCGGTGAAGTTGTTTGTGTTTACGGTTGCACCCTCAATGTTGTTTGCCACCCACGGGTCGAAGCGGACGGTGTCAATGGGGGCGTTGTCGTTGACATCATCAGAATTGTCGCGATTCCTATTGTTGTTGTTGTTGTTGTTGTTATCCAAGGGGTCGATTCGTGCGAAGGTGGGGCCGTCGCTCATGGTGAAACGAAACGAGGCGAGAAGTGCAGAATGGTACCTCCTCTATTCGGTGTTGATGCAGAAATTTTCGATGTCCTTCGTTTTATTTGACTTCTGTATTCCACACTTGGTACACTTTTCTTTGCTTTCCTTTGGCTTGGCTTGGCTTGGCTTGTATTTGAGCCGAGGGTCGGTCTCTGGTCGGGATTACAGTAGTTTGATGCACTAACTTTGGTGACTGATCATTTGTACCGTTACGGATCTTCGCTATGCAATCGATCGTTCGAGGGCGTACAGTACGGTACAGTACCAGGTACATACGTACCGTTGGTAACTCGGTACTCGTAATCATTCCTCAAGTCCCAGGGGAACGTACCGTAGAAGTTCGCTACCGAAATACCGTACCATCCTACCGGTATGGTACTGTACGATGACAGTTGAATTTGAATTGAGCTGTCAAGTTCATAACCCAATACTTCTACGAATTAGAAGAAAAGTACGAGGTACTTTACTTGACTCGTGATGACAGGGAATTAGAAGTGAAACAAATCAGGGTAAAACGAAGGCTACGGAGCAGGGATACTTCGGTTTATTCGAACCCATCTTGGAGATCATACCGTAAACCGGGCATCACCACAACAACACTACAAGTACGCAACGATGGATTGGGACATGAACCAGGAGCTCTTCGAGGAGGAAGAGTCCGAATTTGATGATGTTTCTGAGATTTCTGAGATCGATCTTGTTACTGAGGTCACGAAATTGAACTTCGAGATCGATGATGAGATCACGAAATTGAACTTCGTTTGTGATATTGAGTCCGACAACGAAGGTGACTACTGCGAGGACATTGATGCTGGTTCCAGTGCCGTTCTCGCGACGAACTACGACACGATAACGCCAGGAAAGAACGGAAGAAACCCCCGGACGAGCAACCGCCACCAGAACGAGGCGAGCCGCAACGGATTTGAGATCAAGGGTCCCCTTGTTCTCTGGGACGACGACGACGATGACGTGTATGGCGGCTCGTTCCCCCTTTCTTCTGCAAACGCGTCGGGATGCAACGCCCACGGAGTCGTCCACGTGCGGTTGCTCCGGGCCAGGAACCTACCCTGTCCGGTGGGGTCGAGCGTCGGCGCAACGATTTCCCTCAATCCCTACAAAGGAAAGGTCAAGAGCTCCCGCTCCAAGGCCTTTCCGGGGAACTTACTCGACCACGGTGTGTGTGTCCGGTGGGGGAGGGAACCAAGGCAGCCGAGAGCATTCACGGAGCACTATCGCAACGGCAGCAATCACAATTCCCAATACCGCGACAGCATTTTGAGGGACGACGACGATGGGGAAGAGGACGACGAAAACATATTGTCCATGGTGAACGCTTGGAACGGGCCGAGCTCGCCGGTGCCGTCGATCAACATCGATCTGACCTTTAGCCCACTCGGGCTGGGAATATTTGACTTTACCATGGCATCCATCGAACTCTCCTCCGAGGTGTTGATCCAAAGGCCCCGGGTTTGGAGGACACGCTGGTGTCCCATGAAGGTGAATGCGTCGTCCTTGTCCCAGACCAGCTACCACCACAACTACAACGACGATCCCTTCCTTCGGATCCAAGCGCTCTTCGAGCCCAGTGTTTCGTCCGGTGGTCCCTTGGAACATAAGGTGCTTCCGTCGCTATCGCAAACACAGGTATCGTCGTCGACAAAACAACGAACAAACGAACAGAAATCGGCAACAATATCTCCGTCACCGCCTCTGTCGGGAAGAACCCTGCTCATTGAAAACGAGACCGATCCCAACGAAATTGCTACCACTGATTCCAATGGATTGCTATCCGTATATCAACCAGGTGAGACCCACCAGGAGAAAGAAGCGAAAAAATCCGATGAACAGAGCCAAAAGCAAGACACGGGGTCATTCTGGGACACGAAAGAATTGGCATTGATGAACATAGAAACCACGTCCCTGGAAGAGGACATATCGACGGTGGCTTCCAAAAAAACAACTGCATCGCAGAAGACGGCACGAGCTGCCGCCGCGTTTGTCAAGCCCCATTTGTTGCGAACCGAACGATACCTGGTACCTACCCGGTGCGCGGTGTGTTCGAAGCTCCTGGTGGGAATTTTCGGAAAGGGCATTGGATTTCGATGCGAGGTGTGTCACATCGACTGTTGCAGCGATTGCCGGCTCCATGTCGATCTAAAGGTGCCGTGCGGATCGGAGCTGGCGACAGACATAGTAGAAGCTTCCTTTCAGAACAAAATGAGTCCGTCGGGGTTTCTTTCGTACATAGCCCCGGACGAAGCCTACGAGCAGAAGCGTCAGTCCATGCTCGAAGGAGAGGAAGCATTCGTTCAACCTAGCGGAAGAATGAATCCAAGCAGCGCAATCATTGCCTCGAAACAGTCACTCGCTATGACTGGCTATACGAAAGGATCGCAATCGCCCATGGCGCAGAACGGTGGCACACGGAGTGCAATCGAAGGGATTGGTCGCTGTCGGTTTGAAATTGTTTCTGCCTGTTTGTTCCTGAAAAACACAAAGACCTGGAGCGATTATGGTACCGATGCCGAAACACAACCCCTGAGGAGAGGAGATTATTATGTTCGTGTTTCGATGACAGATAGCGATCGATCGGCTCGAACGCCCACTCTCCAGAAGACGGGGGGAATGCCGCACTTTCGATCGGCAGAGATGAGGTTTCCCGTGTCGCATTATGGTGTTGCATTCCGGATAGACGTCGTCGAGGCCGATAGAGATACAATAATAGGAAGCGCGTTGCTGACGACACAAGGAATCCTACAGGAGCAGAGGGATGCTTACATTGCCGAGCACGGCATCTCGTTGCTGCAGTTCCTGAACGGTCCTATTCCATGGATGGGAACGCGAAAAATGAAGCTTCCTCTTCAATCGGGGATCAAGGTGGGCGCCAAGACGGATGACTTCTATGCTTTAAATTCGAAAGATTCCTCGTCGCAGCAAAAAGGTTTGATAAGCGGATGGGTAGACGTTTATGTGGGTGTGGAGGAATTCTATAGCCGGATGTACGGTTCGAATCCGATCGAGTGCCCAAAGCGACCCCCAGCGGACCTCAACATGGCTGTGTTCTCGAATTGCATCACCCGCATCACGGCCATCATGGACGACCTGAACTATGCTATTTCCCTCTATCAGTACATGGTTAGCTGGGAGAATCCAGTGTGGACCGCCTTTACGTTGATTGTTTTTCAGTGGCTATGCCGGCGATTCAATTCTGAATATATTGGAAGCTTGCCAATTTTATTCTTTGTCCTGTTCCTTGGGTATTGCGCCTTTCAGCGAAACCAGGGGAAGATCAAGGGTCGATATATAAAGAAAGAAATAGAAACAATGCAAAAAGTAGAAGGAAACTCGGTAGGGTATGAAATATATCGACCAAGGGGGACAATAACGGTAACCGTGAGCAAAGGACGCAATCTACTGTCTCAGGAATTTGGAATCGCCGGAAAGACGTCATGTAAGGTAGTATGGGATCCTCTTCGATTTGCGGACGAAGATACGAAAGAACGCATTGTACAGTCCGACAAATCTGCAGATGGGTCTTTCGAGATGGGAAACACCCCCACTATTTATACGTCGGATCCCGATTGGAACGAGTTGGAAGAGAGTGGCATCGCAAAAAGGCTAAACCAGCTCCTCCCTTCCACCGCAAACGATTTCTTCGAATCCTCATCTGCAATTGACACCAGCAGCGAAGTTAAGAGTCTATCATTCCCCATCTTGCAGTCAACCAATACAGCAGATCTTCGAACGGATGATGGTGAAACACTCGAGCCCTGGGAATCCAGTCAAGGAGCTATTGTGATCCAGGTTCGATTCCAAGACTTTTTCAACAACATACCTGGTTTTGATTACGTCATGGGTGAAGTAGTTTTTTCTATCAGGGAGCTGGCGACGGAGGTAGAAGTGAAGGGATGGTACCAAATTCTAGATGTTGGAACTACAACGAATGTTCGCTTAGAAGATCATGAAGTGGACGGGGAGGATGCATTTTGTGGCACGACACTGAACCCTCCCAGAATTTATGTACATCTCAAATGGGACCCTCCAGCAGAATCTTCTGTTGATGATCCCACCGAAACCGATCGAGAGATGTCACATGCCATTCAAGAGGAACTCGTTCGGTCAAGTATTCTCATGAAAGAAAATAAAGTCAATTTGGTCGACAGCTCTATTGGTTCTGTCAGTAAAGCATTCGGTATTGGAGGCACTATTCAAGTCGTTCAGAACACCCTAGGCTCGATCATAGACCTGGTTGAGGGAGTTATGAACCTACTAAACTTTACCGATCCATACAAATCGTCGACAATCTTTGTCGGCTCGTTTTTAGTTTGGGTTGTGTTTTGCATCATTCCTACACGATATCTGATTTTGTCCGCCGGGCTTGTTCAGTACGGAGTATCGTTCGTTGACAGGTACGGTAAAGCTTTGGGAATAATTGGGGGAAAGACACCTGTTGAGTCTACTCTCCAAATTGAACATGACAAAAGTTCCAATGAGGAAGACAAGAACGGAAAGGGAAGTCCTTTTGCGATCAAGGTTGCTAACGCCATTCGGAGTATTCCTACAAACGAGGACCTTCGTAAGGCCTACTTTTGGGAGAGTCGACAACTTGGGACAGCAAAAGCAAAGAAATATACAGTTGAGAAACGAGAGTCGAGACTCAAAAAATTATGGAAAGCGAAATGGCATTCTACAATGAAGATTCTTGTCCAGGACAACGAAATGGATAACAACCAACAACCAGTATTCCAATGGGACTCGGGGTTTGCTGTGGTGCAAGGACATCGTTTTATTTGGTGGAAATCGGTCAATGACTTCGATGATGGTGAGTTGCCGTCTGGAAAAGTTATCATGTCGGGCCATGCTGGACTAGGTGGGCCATCTCCAATCGAAATGAGAAAACTTGATAAAGAAAAAGAGCTTCCACTTTGCCTTACTATTTTCGGAAGGGGTAGTGGTGGCCAAGAACGCATAACAATGCTTCTTCCTGAAAGAAGTGTGAAACAAAATCTTGAGAACACCATTCTTCACTCTGCGTCGTTCAAACGCGATTGATTGGCTTGCCTTGGCAGCAGTAAGTACCATAACTTCTCGTGATCAGATTGTAATATGAGGAAGATTCATTTTGAAATCAGGATAATTCATAATGATCGAGAATATGAAAATAGAAAACATCAATGTCATTTTTGTGGATTACACTGTCAATACTACTAGTTTTAATAGAATTAAATACAAGATTAGAACTAATAGTTGAAGTAGCGCTTTTATCATTACTTCTACTACTTAATGGCAATTAATGGTTGCTTCCTATTACTCAACTTCATAGTTTTTCTACTTCGCATATTTAGAGTAAAGGAAATGACTGATAAAACAAATAAACATGCAGGCACACTACTACCACCAGTCTTAAACATTTGTAGCTGAATAAGGCATAACGAGAGACATTAGTACTAGTAAGACTAAATTAGTGCACCAAACCAAATGATGCCCTACTGGTACCTGAAAATATAAACTAAAGTAGTACTGCTAATTTCAACACCCTTAATAGAAGGCAATGGTACTAGAAGTTTTCTCCAAGCAATGAACAAGGCTCAAAGACAACATTTGGGATGGGTGTTTTGGAGACTATCATCTTCCACTGGGCCCTCCACAAGGCTGAACAGTGGGAGCAAAAGAAATCCAGTCTAGATGATTGATGCAGAAGGGAGGACTCCCTGGCTTGCAATCCACCAGAGAAATGAAGATTCTTCCTTCCATTACCTCTTCCATTCACAGAATGATCAAGCTCTTCTTGACTGTTGTGTTGTAGACTACTATACTAGGGTCTCCAAAGACTTACCCCACCTATTTGCTGCTCCTTTCAATATATAGACAGCCAGTAAACAAGGACAATGAAACGAAGCTCATTGCTTGCTTTTCTAGGACTGGAAAGCAAAAGGGGAAGCCTGTAAGAAGGGCAATGTCATGTGTGTTCTTGGACTTGTGTTGTACTGCTGGTTGTGGGCTTGTGGGTCTGTTGCTAGAGCTACTAGTATGTCCATAGCATTTGGTATTGTATTCATTGTGATGCACAAATGGTTCAAGTTTTCCAGGAAGACCCTCCTCTTTATACTCCACAGACACCCACTTGCCATGGTCAGAGTCCATAATGGGCAGGAATTGGAAGATTACTAGTGGAATGCAGTTGGATACAAATCTTCAAGACTTAAAGTACAATGTGTATGATCCCTCTTGGGATCTTGTTTGACAATGGAACCTTGCAATACTTCAAGAGCATCAGATCCTTGAGTATTGATTGGAAATCTACCACTTTCAAAATTGGATCTTACAACAATCAGAGTCATCAAGTATGGGGAAATGCCGTGTTGTTCACCTCAATAATGCCACTGTTGTTCCTACTCCTACCAAGGAGTGAGTGAGGAGTGTTCTCCAGAAGAAACCTTCTTCACAATTAAACTCCTCCTCTCTCCACTGCAAGTTGAGCCTTCTGTGGAGTAATGAAATAATAGGCCTACTTTGCCAGTCTGACATCTTCAGGCATCAGAGGATCTCCAGTTGGACTCTTCCCCCTTCTAATCAACTGGTTGAACTTGTTGTAGGAGGAATTTGGAAAAGTTCTCAGATTTTTATTTAGACAAGTGTGGAAAAAGTTCTCAGCATGGGTTGAAACAATGCTGTCCCACTCATCAGGTCCAATGGGAAGCACATCCCTTCTGATGAAAGTCATCAAGGTGATGAGTTCCTATTTGGTGTAGTTCTTACTAAGAGCCATCAGCCTTTTGATGTACAGCTGGAGTTGAATTCATCTCCAGGGAAAGATTGTCATGGAAGCATAACAATTGTACATGTTTGCCCCCCTTCTCCATTCTTTGTAGTTGTCCTCTCATTCAGCTTGTTCTGCTCTCTCTATAGTTGCAAAGAAAGGAGATAAAAGACTCTATTTTATCATAGTAGCCATGGTGCCTGAAAAAACATAATCTGATTGTGAATTTTGAATGTGATATTTGTACATGTATATCGCTATCTTCTACTGTCTGGACCCCCCAACTCCCCCATACAAGAACTAGAATCCTTGCTTAATTCTCTTTCTAAGCATGTGCCTATCATACTTAAGCAACTGTTGGGGACCAAGATACAGCTCAAACTGTCAGTTCAAGAAGACTAAAACAGTTATACAATTAAATTATACTATGGGTAGATTTTGGGCCATCTTTTTTCCATGTAATGACTCATAAAAAATTTGTGTTGTACTAGTACTAGGGCTACAGCAACAGCACATGCAAGCAAAACTATTTGGTCACAGGATTCACAATGTGCTACTGCTGGTAGTACTGTAGTACTGAGCACCTGGATCATTACATGGAAAAAGATGGCTCAGAATCTATGACTGGATTGTAGATCTAAGAAATGCCAACTCTTTATGATATGTGGGATGGCAGTGGTGTGGTATCAATGTTAGTGGGGCCATTGAGAAGTGCCATTAAGAAGCAACATTATAATTCTCAAGAGAGTCACACCTCCAGTATGGTCTTGTTATTCAAGTCTTGGTACTTTTGTTTAGTATTCTTGTTGTTGAATGTCAAATTTGGTAGGCTAGTGTCCTGTTGTTTGAAGAACCAATGGATGGCTGAAAATTTTCATTCAAGAGATCCACTTTAGACATCCATGATGTAGAGAGAAGTGGCCAAGATCTTGCTACATTTGGAAAGATTGGAATGGGTGTTTGTCAAAAGTAGTAAATTTAGATTGAGAAGAAGAAACCAATACTGGTAGTTCTAGGATTACGAGGAACCTCCTGAAGATAGAATTTGAAGGACAGGAACATATTTGTTCTAACCACCAATGTTGGTAGTTCTAGGACTACAAGGAACCTCCTGAAATTTTAGAATTTGAAGTACGAGAACATATTTGTTCTAACCTATCATGGTACTACATACAGTTTTACAGTACAAGTGTACAAGTAGAAGTACCATTTAATTTGGGTTAAAATGTGTTGATTGTTAGAAGCCTACCAGGGACTACAGAGCTCAGCCAATGTCCTCATTCCGCTCCAAGGATGGAAATTTCTCATTTTGTTGCTAAAACGCTATCTTCACCATGGTGAGACTGATATCTCCACAACCACCACCAGAGCACCCAAACCATATGATGGGCACCAATACAAAGCTCTTATTCTGCTTAACAAGGTCACATGATATCATTGTTGTCGTAACTTGTCTGTTCTAGTTACTCCTACTACTATATTCTGAAACAAGATAAAACAGCAAAAAATTGTTAATTTTCAGCAATGACCATGGGGATGGCTCTATCTTTATGATCAATCATTGGATTACTAGTAGTTTATGGGAGTTGGACAAGTGGAAAGAGCATTACATTATTATTATGCATATATTGAGTTTGTCTAAGGAGCTGTATTTGGTGTAGAATGGTCACTTTGGTGCCCTCGTCAGCAACAGCCTTCTCATTCTTCAACTTGGTAAACAAACTTTGCTTGCACTCTCATTTTCATAGACAAATTAGCACCAGTATTTGCTTCAAGCTTTTCAGAATTGATAGCCTTCATTACTTGAGCCACATTAACAAGAACCTGTGGATTCATGATGAAATCCCCTGCTTTCTCCACCTTGAGCTTGGGTTCCTTATCAGGAGTAAGATGGATATTGGGTGGTACTAGTAGTGCTACTAGCAGTAGGATTAGTAGCTATCTTCTTTGCACTACTAAAGTGAGTTGTTGTAGGAGAAGCCTTCTTCTTGCTGGTGGTAGTAGTACAGAGAGTCAGTATGACAAGTCTTGTAATGGTTTTGCTTTCAACTGCACAATAGACAAGGTAATATGTCAAATATGAAATAAGAAATTAGTAAACATTAGCTCAATTAATAATGCCATAGCAATTTAGTAGTAGTAACAGCAGCTTGGACAAAGTAACCAAGGTGTGTAAAATATTGCATCCCTGAATAGGAGTACAGAAGTACGCCTATGCATACTAAACTTTATACCAGTCCTACATAGAAATTAGTGCTAGTAGGGCTACACAAAATTACTACTACAGAACAGACAAAAAACTACTATTATTGGCATTGCTCTTTGTACATTGGTTCAACACCTTCTTCCTTGCACAGCTTACTAAGATACACCTTGTTGTATGCATTTGTCAGTAGCACACCTAGAGACCAGAAGAGCATAGACCACCACCATTTCCGATTCCTTACCCATATATCCATTTGATAAACACCTCTTGTTCTTAGCTGATCAGCAATATCAACATCCTCCATTCCATGATTGTAAGTACCCATTCAATTGATTCAGATACCATGCTCAAATAGAGTACTGGTTTAGTATCATCAACACTTGAAGCAACAAGATTTGGACAGTCCAGATCCCCTTTTAATATTGCTGCCGTCACTGTACCTCAAACTTCTTACTGAGCAACAGGGATGATTTGTTCTTTTTATTCCTCTGCCATTCTTCCTTGCAACACCAAGGCAAATAACTTTCTTTTCATGGTTAGAAGCAGCCTTGCAGGATTTTTTATGCTAGTATGATATTTGTACACATATTGATATATTCCACTACTAGCCCACCAACTAACCCATACAAATAGAACCCTGTTTAAATTTGCTTTCCCAAGATAGCTGCAAATGGAGACAAGTGGTAGACATACATTTCAGCTCTCTTCTTGTACTAGTCATATGCGTCAGCTCTCTTCTTCAGTTGTACATGTCAGCTCCCTTTGGGCATCAATGGTGATTCTAGTAGTCAGGAGAGTCAGGAAGCACAGGAACAATGACATTAGTTGATTTTGCTTTCTTTACAGACCTAGGAACAACAAACACATCATGTGGTCGGCGCCAGCCAGTGGATGGTAGAGAACCAGGGAGAGGGAGCTTCCTTGGATTGATTGGGGTTGAGGCCGCAGATGTGTTGGTATCTGTATCCCTAGTATCCATCCTTGCTGGAGGTGTTTGAGGTCTTATAGGTGCTGGAGACTTACATAGATCAGTAGTTTTTTCAGACACTTTAATCTCAAGAGGTTTTACCTCCTCACTGTCTCTTGCCTCATGGAAGACAATCCAGAGGAGCTTTGCAGGGATTTTTCCTCTGAAATTTCCTTGGAGAATCTTTGGCTCATTGAGTCTGGTATCCATGTCCTTCTCAGGAAAGTAGATGAGACACTCCTCATAGATAGTACCATTGTCATCCTTGAGCTTGTTTGTATTCTTCTCAAATCCAATCTCAG